CAATACTAGACGGACAGCTCGAAACCTGACACTGTCTACAGTACACAAAAAAACACTCTTAGGTGAGAGTGATTGTGTTGAAATAGTTTTACCAAGGAGAAAAACACACAGCAGCAAAGTGTTTGCAAAGCTTTGTAGGTGGCAACTGACAGCTCAGGTTAAAGATCAGCTCTAAAAATCAACCACTTCCTGTCCGTTATAGCTGTCCATTTGAAAATATGTATCAAATGGACGCTCGCAGGGAGGGTCTACCTTTTGGACCACAATGGTATTGGTGTTGGACACGCCGCACCCACAACCTGGCACTCTAAGGTCTTCTGTGTTGTTTAAAGGGCCCGTGGAATGTGGAACAAATCCCCTCAGCTTTATCAGCCTGGATGCACTCCCTATTGGCCCGGCTTAAGAGCCAGGGGCCTGCGCGGGAGCTTACAGAATTTCACATGGAGGCCAGAAACAGAGGAACATCCTGTCTGAGTCCAACACCGGCTTTGATATGCCGACACCTTGTGCACTCGCCTCTTTCTTGTTTGTCGGGGTGTGTGCGCGTTCTCGCAGCATGTGTCTCCTGTCACACTTTTAGGTTTCCTTGTTGTCTAGTGCCGCAGTATTTCATTTCAGTCGGGATGTGTCGGCTGAGAGACCGTGGTTTACACTGCCTGTTCAAACACATTTTTTCATCACTTTCCAGAAAAGACATTACCCATAAAGGTAATTTGACTACAGTATTTAACATTGTCAGATTTATGGTTGATTTCATATCAGTCACAGGCAGTCAAACATTCAGCAGACACTAACTCCTTCATTTCACAGAGTGATACAGTATCTGCCCCTGAGGACGGTTTTATGTGGTTTTTAGTTAGTTAAATCTAATCACCGGGGTCATGACGATCCTTTGGTCTCTCAGAGGGCTCCACTTTTAGGAAACCTATTTACTTTATGAGCAAGGATTTCTGGAAAATGATGCTAGTTTGCATTCTTTCCACTTTTAAAGAATGTTTCTATTATCGGTTAACAGCCCAGGCCCCAAGCAAGGACTTGCATTAAATACCAAAAAATGACAAAATGAAAGATGACTTGTGTCTCCTCTGACTGTCCGCTGAAAAACCCATGTTTCTAAACTGTTGGTTGGGGTGATTATTACATGTAGAAGTGTGTGTATCATCTGCCATTTGTCGCATACACCGTCCGTGTAAATATAAGCAGCGTGGTCTCTCTGGTGCAGTCAGTGTAATCCACGAAGCAACAGATTTTATCACATGACAGAGTTTTGTTTTGTTTTTTGGGTCAACAATTAAACAAATGAGAGCAGCTTTGTTTTTTCTCTGCTACAATTCATAATTCATCCTGAACAGTGTCATAATGTGCGGCTTGCATATTTTCATGCGTTTGCCTTGAATGTGTTGGTCAGTTTGATCGTGTCTTTGGAATGGAGCACATGGTCTGTCCAGCGGCTGCCGGTGTGACAGCTGAGAGGAGGCCGCTCCATTACGTCAGCATGCTTTCAAAGCCAACCTTAATGAAGGCGAGCTGATTACGGCACTGCTGATAGACGCGGGGTGGTCGGCCTGAGGTGCTGATCTTTGTTTATGCCATTTAGTAGGTCATAATCAAAGTGAAAGAGGGATCTGATAGGGCACAGAGGAAGGAGGAGGAGGAGGAGGGTGACTTTCAGTGGTACACATGCTGCTCTTACATAGACTGGCAAGCATGCTCATCTCTCACCACAGCTGTTGTTACACTAGGACTGAAGAGGCTTCGCCCCTGTGATTCATGTCCTGCCAAGGGAGAGGTTTTGCCTCCTGTCTGACCTCAGAAAGAGTCCTGGGCAGGCCATATCTGGGCCATCTCAACTGCATGAGGATATTCCAGATGACTGGAAGGCATTCTGCTTGGATTCAATTTCCATTCATAGAATGGCAAGACAGGACAAAAACATAGAATATAGATAGTTTTTGGGGGGAAATGTATGTCTCTGTAAATTGTTAGTTTCAGAGATTAAAGACTAAATAAATAACTGTGGACTTTGTTTTAAATAATGCATGTGTGAAGTGAATTGAAAATGTGCTGGATAGTCACTTTTAGTTGATGCCACACTAAATCACATTCAATTTAAAGGCTTTTTAGAGAAAAAATTTAGTTCAGACTTGTTATATTATGATTACTTTGAATCAAATTATGATCCAAATGATGACCTTCGCTGAAATCCAAAAGAGTGCCAGTTCATAAAAAGTTTCGCAACTTGAATAAATGTGGGACACTTAATCTTCTTAATCTTCTAATAGATTCAAGCCCCAATTTGAGAGAACTTCACAGGGGAAAAGTCCCTTTAGCTGGAAGATTTCTCCAGGAGAAAGGACCATTTGGGCATTAAGAAAACTGGAAAGAGAGAGTCAACAACCACTTAACACCAGGCCAGAAAGAAACAAAAGTTAGAGACTAAATTTGTGCAACTGACCTTTTCTCTTTAGCTTCCACATTTAAGGCAGAACCCCTTCCCCCTCACTCCACCCCTCATCTCCTTCTAGTTCACTCTGCCTCTCTTCAGTATAACCGCTCACATCTGGTTTTGAGTCAAGGCCAGGTTGGTTTCTTCTGGAATGGAGGGCTTTTATTTCTCAATGGCCCCACTCCCTCTCCAGTTTCATTCTGCGGAATGCATACGAAAATGCAGTTTGTTTACATACTGGTGAGCCTTTCTTTACATTGATAATACTCAGTCCTCATTTTCATTACTTGGGAACCCCACAATCATCTCCAATTAATGGTTGGTCGGAGGAGGAATGCCTGTTGGCTGGCTCGTGGTCATGAAGCCCTTCCTGTGGCGCCCTCTTAAGTGTCAGAGAACTCCCACTAGCAGCCCTTCAAAATGTATCTTCAAATGCACTCTTGGCATCAAATAAAGCAAATAGCTGAGATTGTGGACCGGGTTTGGTTTGGAAGTTGACGGCAGAGGAAAAAAACAAAGGTACTTTTGGAAAAACAAAAAAACAAGTACCTACTATGCTGTCAAATAAGTAGGAAAAACAGCACAAAACTTCAAAATTACATAAGAAACTGGACCGGATCCTGATTTTGTATTTTTTCCAGTATAAGTTTGTTCTTTGACACACATTAAGACATCCGATCAAGTTGCCATATTTCCTAAGCAGTGGTTAGAAGAGCTGTGTCAGTAATGTTAATCTTGGCCTCGGCTGTTTTTTAAGACATGACTTTCAAATCAGTTGTGCATCATACGGTTTGAATAATGGACCAAAAAAAGTTTGTGCATTTATTTTTAGGGGGTGAGCTAGAAGGGGAGATGTGAGAACAAAGATGTGCAGTGTTTTCCAGAGGGAGGATGGGTGGTAGGCAGGCAGAGGGGGAGACAGACTGCTGGGGGATGTCTGATGTCACCTGGTTGGGAGCTATGAAAGCTTCCCCTGGTTACCCTATCCCACATAAAAGTCTGGCAGTAGACTGAGGCTTTGGGGAAGCTTGGCAGAGCTGCTGCATTAAACAGGAAAAAACATCACACACCTTTCTTTCTGCCTCTTAGGTGTCGGAGAGACAGAATCTGTTTACAAGGAACACTGTCAGTGCACATTTCCAATGCATTTTTTAAGACAACAGAGATCTAATATCTTATCATTTCCCCGTCAATCCTCTTGAAGTGTCTCTCCCACACACACATTCTTCTTGTAACGTGCACAGAAGCGTCTATCAAGAATTTCAGGTGTACGCAACCGGCAAAAAAGGATGGAACATTGTTGCCTCAGAATGCTAACAGATCTTTACAGACTACAGAGCACTTTTGTGATCTGATAGTGAAGGAATGAGAGCCGCGAGATGCCAGAGAGCAGTTAATTACACATGTGGCGGGCAGATTTGAGCCCGACACCGTGGGCGATGTGGATGGAGATGCCATGTGTTTAGTTGTTAAACGGCAGACTGCGGTCAGACCCAGCCTGCTCTTTCATTAACTTCCCCCAATGGATGTAATGAACATAGAGGTGGTGCTGGTGGGGGAGCCATGTGTTCAACACGAGGCCTCCTATTCGCCTCATTGCGCGCTCAGCAAGATGTTTCCTTTCGTCTGAATTTTAATTAGAGAGGAGATTCACTTTTGGCAGCCGGTTGATTGATTTGATTCGTTATATTTAATGCTGAATCTTGTCTTTCATTTAGAGGTGCATATACCTTGCTCCGAGGCCCTCAAGGGAACAAGGATGGGAAGAATCAATTCCTTTCTTTGATCTTTCTGTGAGCGGGAGAACAGCGTGGCTGTGTGTACTTCCTCTTCCTCACATACTGCCCTTCATTAGGAGACTGCAGCACAAAGAGAGCAGATAAAAGCTTCCAGTACATAAGGAAAACAACAACTTCGTTACAGAAACTACAGACGATGGACACTGTGTGTGTGTGTGTTTGCATGGACGAATGTACAGTTTCACTATTCTTTTCAAGAACGTGTGTTTGATGATTAAAGAAAGCGTCTTGTTTTGGGCCCTGCAACTGGCACCAGTTGTCTCCTTTTTTCCCAGAAGTCACCAGAAGCCTCTAAAAACCATCCTCCATCTCTAGCACTGAGCTCCATGAGAGTGGAATAAGTAACAGACAGGCTCTATCTCATAAATTGCATCCTTCTTTGCCTCCACTCTTATCTGTTTCTCTCCTTTCTTCTCTTATCTTCTGGAACCTCCTTTTCTCCTTTTCCCCTACTTAGCTCCTTTCCTTCTTCCTGCTCCCTTCCTCTTCCCAACCTTTGACTCCCATTCTTTAGCTGGTTTGTCTCAGGTGGCCGGTGCGATTGGACCATCCAGGCCTTGACCCTGAGACTTGACGGGCTCCCCCTTTAGTGCTGAAGGTCAGGGGCAGATTAGAGGCCGGGGGTATCATCCTCTGAAGTAAGGAATAATCACGGTCATTGAGACTGTTAAATAGAACCACGGGCCCTGGTGCTGTGATTACTCTGAGAGAGGGTGGAAAGGGGGAGGGGGGCTTGTTCACCTAAACGCATACAGATGTTCAGAATCGCTCGAGCCTCAGCTCTGTCAAAGGTACATGGAGTTCTTTTGTTTTCTAGCATCTATCTGTTTTTTATTTGTCTCATTTCAGTGGGCCTCCTTGATTCAATCTGCTGAGATTTTATTTCAAAGTGTGTGTGGAGCAGCTTAGAGCGCTGAGAATGACGTAAATAAGTTGAATCATTTGTTGTTTAAATACTTGTGGTTTAAGGCCTGTGCTGCACTTAATTTTCATTGTTTCCACAATCCAGTTGTAATTAAAAAATGGCTGTGTGTGTTTGTGTGTGTGTGTGTGTGTGTGTGTGCTCGGAGACCCTGTTGCCCTTCCCTCTGTGTGTGCCTCTGCATTAGCACATGTGTGGAATGCTTTGCGGTTTTATGTTTTATGCAGGATATAGATTATTCACATATGACAGCAGAGCTTTTTCCCTCCCATCCCTTTATCCTGCTTTTGTTAGTTTTTTTGCCCTTTTTTTTGTTTTTGAGAAAAAAGCTCTGGATTTGTATAATTAATCAGTTCCATCCTATCTGTGTAGAAGTTTCCATATGGCAATTATTCTCCATTTAAAATAAATGCTGCTGAGCACTCAGTTTGAGGTTAGTTTGACATAAACCAAATCTCTCAGAGTAAAGCCGTAAGCGATGAATACAACTCAACTTTTTCCTAAACTCTGGGCCTCCATCAAACGCTTCTCAGAGGGTCTCACATGTCAGGCAGGATGAGAATAAACAGGTTGGCTGAGAGAGCGCTCGGATGATGAAGTGCATCACGGGTTTTTTGATGGATGCGAGGGATCTGTTTGAAGGGCTCTGAGGAATCTTGAAAGCTTGGCTGTGCCGTGCTCGCCGCGTCCCAGACACTGAAACACAATAAGCGTGCAGATGTTCAAAGTGTTTGGCCGCGCTGGAGCCTCCAGCTCTCTGCCGCTCATCTGAGTAGGAAATGCTTTAGCTGGAACTGTTTGTTTTCTCTGTGTCTGTGGTCTCAACTGTAGATTCACTTACATCTCTGATCCCCGTCTTTCTCTCCTCGTTTCTTTCCTTGTCCCAGGAGTTTCCCCATGGTGAGCTAAAGGACGGGCAATTCGCCGATCAACATTGTCCCCTGGAGGGTAGGTGGAGAAGGATGTTTTTTCTCTCTATGATCAGCTTCATGCTAAATTAGTTCCTAAATATTTGATGCTGCAGAATGGAAAAGTCTAAGGTTTGATGACAGACTGCGTGGTTTGTCCTCTGTCTGACTCACCAGTCAGTCTGAAAGTCGACATACAAGATAAAATATACATATTGTAGACATACATAAAAGGTTTATAGGAATACCCCAAAACAAATGAAAGAGCAATCAACTCAAAAGGGGAATTCACAAGTATCACAAATGCAGCATAAATATGTTATTATGGTTGGTTTTATATGAAGGTATGAAACAGCTAAAGAATAAACAAAAAATTCATATGTTTTAAACTGTAATCAGGAATGAGTTTCAGCACAGCCCAGCTTGAATTATACTTGAAAAGATGAGTAATTAGATGATACTTCTCTTCTGAAGGATTTCTTATTCTATATTGTTGCCTGATATTATTGTTTCGCTTGTTTCTCTTGTTTATGTACACTGACTTTTAAAGATGAATATTTTGAGGAATTCCCTCTTCAAACTAGAGGAGCAAATTCTTTAATACACATGATCAACAGGATCCCACATGTAGGAGCAGAACACTCCCGGGACACTCGCCGCTTGTGCCAGAACTTTGCTTCCAGCAGCTGTAAACGCTGAATATATCCAACTTAAGTATTTAGCATGAACACCTCTTATTTCTTCCTCTTTTTTTTTGGAGGGGAACCCACCAAGATGGGGGTTGCAAGGGTCTTGGGTGATCTTGTTTGTCTTCAACTAAAATCCAGTCTCTTGTGTGTTGTCAGTGGTGCTCCCACCAGAGAAGGCTGAAGGCTGTGAAAACTACCTGCAGTACCTCCACTCAGAGGACGGAGAAAAGGAGGTCCTAAAAGATGTCTCCAAAGCGTCGGGGAAGAAACGCATCAGCCTCAATGTACGCATGAAAATTAGGCCCTTCATGTTCAGCTAAATGTTCCATGGCTAGATTCCTGACCCAGACCGGTTCTGCAAGATGTAATTCTTCAATCAGTGAATATGACAGGACCTCTTTTGGGTCAGAAAGGGTCATAACCCTCATGCTAACAGCTAATAATCCATTTGTGTGTCAGAGCTTGTAAAGCATGGCACCTCAAGACTTAAACAGTTCCCAAGCTTCACCCAGATCACTGGTCATCTGTCTGTGCGCTGACCATGTCCTGATTCAATTTAACGACGATGTAAATTGAATAAATAGATTGTGATGTTTAGACTTTTGTGTTCAGTCGGAACTGCTTAAAGGTGCTTTTAATGATCACTGCTAGCCGCATGAGATGAAGACATATTACAAAACCCTAAAGGCCTCTGTAACTCCTGCGGTCTCCTTTGGAAATGCACACTTTCCTTCATACTGTGTACGCTCTCAACCGCGCCTGCAGAGGGATCTATATTCCAAATGTTTGTTTTTTCAACCATGGCCATGTTATTAGATACAGCTGAATCAAAGTCTCTGCCAGAATGTTGGAACTGAGAAAAGCAGTTGCTGTTTTTTTTCCAGGATTAAAGGAGAAAGGTCATAGCTTGTCACTTTGATTCTTTGCAGTGTTCCTTTATGCCAATATACAGATACATGTGTGTAAAAAAAGATTTAATGGTGTTGTGCATTTGAAAGACAATCTTAAACTGACAAAAAAAAGTATCTTCTGAAAATCAGTTTAAGGAACACAGAAAATAAGGCATTTCTGATCAAATACGTTGCACTCTGCTGCCCCCTGCTGCCATAAACACTTCAGATGTGCGCCTGTGTTGTTGCAGGACCTGGAGTGCGACATCTCTGTTGAGGATGACAACCGTCAGGAATGGATCTTCACTCTTTATGACTTTGACAACAGTGGCAAAGTTACTAAGGAGGTGTGTGCGCTTTGCCTCTTGCTGCTGTGCTATGCTCTCCGTGGCCCTTTTTACGACATTCATTAGAGTTTTGAATCATTATTGAGTGTGAAATGTTGGGCTGTAAACTTTGTTCTCTCTGTGACTTCAGGACATGTCGAGCTTAATGCACACCATCTATGATGTCGTGGATGCCTCCGTGAATCACTCCTGCCACAATAAGAGCAAGACTCTGCGCGTCAAACTGACCGTCACTCCGGAGCCGAGGTGCCACAGAAGAGAAGCAGGAGCAGGTAAAAGACAGGAAAATAAGAATCAACAGGTTTCTTTGATGAGGTGATACTCTAAACTTGTTTCCACATGTTTTTTAATATGGAAATCTTGGCATTACCTGGTTTGATACCATTTTTATATATATTTTTAATACGTTTTTTTTCCTGGTTAGTGTCCCATTGTAGCAACAGCAAATGAACCTCATAGGAACTCTCAGACCATCCATTATACCATGGCCTTTTAATTATTGTTATGCAGCGCAATTTACAGAGAAAATATGAAAATTTTGCTCCTGATATGAAAGCTGTATTTTCAGCGGTCCATTAAAGCTATCATATGGGGAGTATGAGCCCCTCACGGTCACAAAAACGGTTTAAAAGTAGTCACAATGCTTTTGTCATTTAAATTGTGAATTGAAATCATAAAGAAAAATCTGAAAAATAAAGAAAAATCAGGAGACAAACATTATCCTTTATTAAATCATTTAAGTACATCAGTCCTTTGCACTCGGTTGTATTCAGCTTGTAAGGAACTGCCTCAGAGAAATGTTTTCACCACACTGGAATCTGACAGCGAGACCTGCCCAGAAAATAAAAGAGTGAGACCTGATCCCCACTCTTGGGAATCTGGGAAGAGGAGAGGGAGAATCGAGAATTGTGTGGGTTTTGTTAGTCGGCCAGGGGTGTAACCCCAGTGGCCTCCTATCACACTTACTGAAAGTGGTTGGATGGAAACTTCAAAAAGCCAACCAAAAGTGTATTTGTCTGCATGGACCAGTTGCTGTTACATCACAGATAGCTCCTCTTGTGCTGGAGTTTACCCAGCCTGACCAAGGCGCTTTTTAAGCTCCTGCTTATAAAAAAGAAAAAGAAAAAAAGAACTCTGCTGGTGCTTTCTCTGATCCTAGATTTTAGGAAAGTTTAGTGTTCCTTTTGCCTGACTCAAACTCTTGATCTTTTCATCTTTAGAGCGCTGTCACCAGGAGGAAACTCGTTCATCCGACAAGCGGTTGTCCTCACACATAAGGTCAAAACCTGCCCCTGAGCACTTTAGAAGTATTGCAGTAGAAATGTGAAAATGATGTATTTAGTTGTTCTTCTGTTACAGCAAAGGGCAGGCCAGCGAGCCGCCTGCCAATGAGGGTCAACATTACTGTGTGGACGAGAACACAGAGAGGAGAAATCACTATCTGGACCTCGCTGGTATAGAGAACTACACATCCAGGTTTGAAGGTTGGTGAAATATTTAATAAAAGTAGCTGAGAGAAAATGATATGTTTTTGTTTTTGTCTGAATTTGAGATAGTTTTTTTTTCCTTAAAGTTAATATTTAGATCATTCAAACACCTTTTTTTAAGTAAGTTTTAACAAACACATGTAAACTTAGTTTGCCCACATTATCAAGTTTTTCTTTTGGTTGTTCCTTCTTTTTAATGATGTACATTAGGTTTATATGCCATATGTTACAAATGTCTGATTAAAACCGTATAAAGAATAAACATTCTTGAAGAAAAATTACAAACGCACTGCTCTCCCTTGTCATTTAGGTACCACAGCTGATAGCCCTCCTCAGGAGGCTCCTGGTCGCAGCTCACAAAGCCAGAGCCGCTCACGCTCCCAGGAGCCAGAAGCCCAAGTGGTTCACCAGCGCCGCTCACAGGTCATCGGTGACAGCTACAACCCCGTGGAGGCTCGGAGCAAAGGAACACAGTTCCTCAAATCTCCAAAAGGCAACTACAGGGGGAGTGGAGGTAATAACGGGGGCAGTGGAGGTAACAAATCCACTAAGTGTCACGGCCACCACCCTCCTCTGCAATCCGTGCTGCACAGCGGCAGCGCCGGCGGCCATGGAGGTCAGGATGTGTACCATTTGCCGCACCAAGCCCATCCGTCCGGCCACCATCAGCATCCCCTGCAGTACAGCCACAGCAAGCGCCTGAGAGGCAAAGGCAGAGAGGCCCTGTCCCCGTCCAAGGTCCCCGGGCCCCCCCAGTCCCACCCCCAGCAGCAAGCGCCCACCTCTGCACTGCCCAGCCTGGAGAGGGAGCAGGCCACGGGCCCCCCCGGCAGCCCAGGGTTTGTGGTCCCTATGGTCCAGCGCCATGAGCATCACCACCACCACGAACACCACCACCACCACCATTACCACCACTACCACCAGACATGACAGCCTCCAGGCTGCAGTGACTGAAACTGTACAGGACCAATCACAGCCAGCCACACCAGTCTAAAGGACTTCAAGTCATCCAACGGGATTCGTCTCATGCTCTGTAAGGGTTATTTCACTCTCCTCCTGCAAGCTCTACGGATATATATCCTGCAATTTGGCGTACTGAGGAAACATTTAGCATGACGGCAGAGAGCACTGAGCTACAGTCTCCTTCCTAAGAAAAGTTGTGTGTGGCCCAGTTTTTCAGTGTTTTTGTAGATTTTCCGATGGAGGAGCTGCCCTCCTTGTATACTTCACTGAGGGGAACCAGTATGGAGGGGAGCAGGTCAGGTCATCCTCGATGTCTTCTCTTTCCTCTACGAAACCATTGATTAAAGTCCTACAAGCTACAGTATGTCAGGATAGCTGTGTTGCTCTGTGTGAGACCTTTCCAAAACGTGGATCTCAGGTGTAAAGGTGCTGCTGCTCTCAAGCTGTTCACAGAGGCCTCACTCTGTTGGATGCCTGCTGTGGACTGAAGGGTTTCCTGTTGGGGAGCGGGGGTGGGGTGGGGGGGGGGTTATGGAATCACCACTGCCAGTTTTAATGCAAAAATATCTTGCTATATGTATAAAAAAATCTATATATGTAAACACATTTTACTGTATAATTATAATACCCTTTATGCATATTTCATCATGGACATAATTATGCATTTATGTATTTTGTCTTTTATATATTTTAATAAACGTTATATAGTACATTCATATTTTTGGAGTGAGTTTTTTTCTTTACATTTATTTATTATCATAAACAATAATAAAAACATTGAAGAGACCTCAAAATTAAATGACTTCTGTAATTATTCCACATAGCTGATGTTTGATTATAGATACCAGTGCTGTAGTATGAGTTTGACCACTAGGATCTTCAACTAAACTGAAGTGATTGAATCAAACATTTTTATGTAATTTGTTATTGATTCAAACTTTAAAAAGCAAAGTGCTTGTGGCTGTAACAGGTATGTCACTCCAAAGGCAGGAAGTGATTAATGCATCCAGTAAGCAATCACAATGTGATGACAATACAAAACAAGCACACTGAGCCATAAATGCGTCTGGAAAACGTTCTGCTGTTCCCTGAAGGAGACACTGCACCAAACAGCTGAAAACAAGCAGCAGAAACACACAAGAAGCCGACGGACACTAAGCGAAAGGTTACAAGTCGAGCATGACAGTAGAGAATCCCTCTGACCTGCTGTATCCACAATACTGCTGATGAGGTGGAAAGCAAAAATAAGAATGCGTGATGCAGTGAACTTCTACATCCTCACATGCCATCCTTTCTAAAGATAACCACCTGCTCTTTTGTCAAGTTTCTCAGCTCACCTGTTTGAAACAAGCTCAGCCACTAAGTGGCACTAATTCGTCACACATAAAATATAAATGTGGGAGTACAGCATACTTACCAGCTGATTCACAAGAAGTCCATTCATAAAATGATTATGCCTATCCAGGACATGGTTTATGTCCCTGTGAAAAATTTTCTTGTGCACACTGATCACATATAAATAGTAAGTGAAGGCCCAAACACACAAACTGGTTGGGTTGTGTTCTTTTAAGACGCACAGGTTTGCATGATGTGTAACTTAATGAGCCTCCCCAGTGGGTTTCACATTTATTTGCAATTTTCTGCCTTGTGGTCATCCCCATAATAGAGTGTGTTGACAGCATGAAGTCGCTGTAAACAGGAATGCAACAATCTTCATTGTAAGGGAGCAAACCTCTGCTCTACGTAAATAAAGACACACTGTCTGAGTTGCGCGTAAACACATGCTCTCCATCAGGGAAACACAGAAACCCTTTTCCCTTTCCCAGATTTGTGATACACAACCAGACCAGAACTAAAAAGTGTTCACAATCAACCGAACGATATCCCTCTGGAGGCTGAGTTAGTGACTTTCCAGTAGCGTTGGCGAGTGTTAAAGAAAGCTCAAAATTGGCCAGAAATGGTCCAATTAGTTAACGTTTTGCTTGTCGATTAACAAACAACTAAAACAAGTCACGGCGTGTCCCCCACACGACACGTTGAAGGTTTAACTGGCTGAACATGTCTTTCTCACGTGACTACAGCTGTTACGCATGAAGACCTGTCAGTTCATCCATGAGAGGGGAGACATGGGGACCAAGTCTAAGTCTCCCTGTGTGTTGGACGTATCTAAAACAAAAAAACAAAATAGTTTTCACGAATCACAGATAGACTACAGGCAGCAGTAGAGCCTGTGTGTTGGTTTCTTTGTGGTTCCTGCCAGCCACGGCTCAGACGAAGCTGCTTTCTGCTCCATTCGGCAGAGATTTAGCGAAGGACTGAATCCGAGCCCCGGCTGTGACAAACAATGGCAACTCTGAAAGGCGAGGGGAGGGTCGGCCTAATGCAAATATCCACTTTGTACGCCTTGGAAAACCTGCACTGACAACTAAAAACTTCCACTCAAATGTGAGAATACGCAAATACGCGCGGAGGCGCTCCGGAACGTCCAAGTTATGGTGAACTTTTATCCAAAACTGCTGGTTGGGCTCCACGTTTCGGCAACAAGTGGGACATTTTGTGGCGTCAAGAGGACGAAGGAAGCCGGAGTTTGGAGACCGCCCGCTGAGGCGTCGCTGAAATGTGCCAAATGCACCTGCTAAGGAACATTACGCGCAGCTAAGAAAGGTACGGTGTCCGATGAGCGTGCCAAGACTCAGTATTTGGAAGTGACCCATAAAATGCCCTTTTCATTCTTGTGGGTAGGTTTGACACAATTTTGCATTCCTTGCCACCACTTTTCATTTTTGTTTCAAAGCTTTCGGAGAAATCTTGCGCGTGTGGTGGGGAACGCTGCTATTTCTTTCCACAGTTATGCATGCAGGAGTGTTTTTTTAAGGCAGAACTTTTTTTTTCTTATTTAGTGAGGCTAAGCCCGTCTCAGGAAAATGTGATTATCCTCAAACCATCGATACGCTGGCTTTCATTCAAGATATGCATGAGAAAGGCTTTTGCGCATAATAGATCAGTGGGAGCCTGTCTGCTTGTATAGACGTGACACAAACTGAAGGGAATCTCACTTGAATGTAGTTATTGTGAGAGTGTAGAACTTTTATTTTTGTTTACGGATTATTCTTACAGATTTGACATTGTTCTGCCTGAGCATTTTACTACTGCATTTGGATGTTTCTTATAGTCTGACTTCAGTATTTGGACAAACAGCATCATGTCTGAACTTTGCATCACATTTTTCACATTTTGTGTAATGCTACTGTAAAATACCTGCACATCCCCCAGAGAGACATCAAAGCTGACCCAACATGAGGCCTTTATCTGAACAATTGGTCCATTCTGTCCTGCACCCCAACCCTGACCACCCCCACAACCCCCTATTCCAAATTTCCACTTGATTAAGCCCTAAGCTGGGCAGAGTCGAATCTGGAGGGAAAATGGCTCACTAATTATGACTCACAGGCCTGAAGTGAAAAAAGGAAAACCGCTCTCAGGGCTCTAATTTAAGCCTTGTTCAAAAAGATGACAAGTGCTTTGCCAGAAGCTTTAAAACCATCAAGGACATTTAATTATTTTGTCACAATAATAATATTAGTTGGCCACAAGGAAGAGCTCTGGTGAATTATTTATCTGATTGTTATCACCTAAATGCGTCTCATGTGAAGTTATAGTTAACCAGATGAAAAGGATTGGACTCTGGCATTCAGGGGTTGGTCTAAAGGTCAGCAGAGATGTTCATTTCTAGGGAAGGAAATGCACCTAGCATCTGCAGCTCTTTGGATTTGTTTTTCACAACTGATTTCCCTTCTTTGCAAGCAATTACTTGTGTTGGTGAGAGCAAGCAGAGGCAGCCTGCAGACCACTGTACACATTCTCTGTCTGGTGGTGAGGTTGCCAGGCAATATGAGCTGCTGGATGAACAGCTCTTTCTCTCCTGCACTCTTCCCTCTCTGTCTCCTTTTTCACTGGCTACCCCCCACCTCTCTTCTCAGCTAGCCTTTTCCTTTATTTGCATACTAATGGATGAAGCAAATGCTATAAACCAGGGTAGTCAAACTGATTATCACCATTAGACAATCTGTGGAGGTTTTGGAGTAGCTAGTTTAATTTAATTTCAGTGTGAAATTTCGGTTCATATAAAGTTGTTTTACTGTCATGCATCGTGCAAACTGTTTACTGGTTGTTCTCCAGAAAGTTTAGATCATCATATGTCTTTACGTTGGCCACTAGAGGAGAGCAGTGTGCAAGTGTTTAAAAGTTGTATGACAAATAATGGAGCACTGATTCATAGTTTGTACAGTCATGTATGGATAAAATAAAGAGAAAACATCTGTCAGTTCAAGGTTTATTCATCAAGACAACATAAAAAAATGTTGTCCTCACAAGCCCTTAAGATTAGGTGAACAACTTCGAGCAACGGCAACGAATAATGTGTTACATAATTTCATATCCAAAGTGTGAAGTGGTGTACGCCATGATTCAATTACCTCTAATTTTATCTGCAACTTTAGATTTTTTTTACAAAGTTATCAGTTGCTGAGTGTTTTTTGGCCCTCTCTTCAAAACAGTGTTGCCTTAGATCATTGAAGTTTGTGGATAATTGTTCATGCCCTGACCCCTCCATAGCATTTCAGTCAGCTGATGTCTGGACCTTTTCTGGGTCATTGCGTTACCTTTATTCTGCTTTTATTATGACCCGACATCTACACTTTGGTGTCATCTGTCCAAAGAACATTGCTTTATAAGTCTTGTGGTTTGTTGATGTGCAACCCTTCTATGTTTAGATGCTATGTTATTTTAAAATAGAAAAATAGGCTTTTTTTCTAAAACACATCCTCTTGAATATATGTTCAGTCTTTTACTAAGTGTACTGTGGTAAGTTTTGAAACTGAACTTTAACCGGCTGGTACATCCACTCCTGGGAAAATAAGTCAACTGTCCTCAATGTTTTCCACTTGTGAATAATCGCCCTAACTGCAGAGTCATGGACTCCAAATGGTGGTGAAATTAAGGTTGCTAAGGAACAGTTTTTTTACGCGTGTGTCCCGTAAGATTAAAATGAAACAGGGGCACTTTTTTCACAGGGCTATATAAAAGATTTAAAGCTCTCAGCTGTTAGCCATTGTCAGCTTGGAATTTTGCTGTGAGGGATAAATCTGAACAAGAAATGTAGCACTTCCTTTTGGTGCATTTAGCTACCACTTAAGCCATTCACAGTCTTGGAATTACTAAACTTTTGTTTGCAGCCAGTAAAATGTTGGCCAAAAGTCTCTTGGGGCTACATACTATTTACCCCCAAAGGCACAACTTTTCAGAAGTCTATCACTACTGCATCTTTAAACAGGAAGGAATCATTACTCTGACAACAACCTACAAATAAATGGAGAGCCTTTAGTTTACATAAGACAGGCGTTCACAGTAGGACACAAAAACACCAACGACTCTATAAAACACAGTGCAACGATCGTGGATTTTTAGTTTTTGTCATAAACTCTTTTGTCTTGAAAAAGCCCGCTGTCATG